TTTTTTTTTTTGTCTGGGGAGGTGTTAGTGGTAAAACTGAAGCTTGAAAGAAGAATAAATGATTAGCTTATGCTTTTACACAATTTTAAATTTACACAGAGATATGATATCTTCACACAGAATGAAACGAGAACAGAGTGATAACTGGACCATCAGAAACTAATTCTTTATAGATATTTGGATCCGTATTGGCTCCACAAATAATGATTTCGAATTATACAACTATTGCTTTCACTTAGTCCATGGATATAGTCACTAGGAGAAGGGAAAATTGATGATTGAGTTTTTTGGGGTTACGCATAGACTACATTTATTCTTCTGAGAAAACGAAATTTCTGCTCACTTGAATGGGACTCTAAGAACTTGGGGCAAGGACAGTGCCGCTTCACCTCCAGTTCCTTCCCTGATTCTAAATCTTAGGTACTTCTTGAATCTTGCACTACTAAGAACTACCAAAGTAGAGCAAGAAAGGATGTGATTGTTGCTTTTGATTAATATGAAGAGATTTTTTGTGTCCCGATAAAAAAGTATCAAATGGAGAAACCTTTCCTCTGAGGTGGTTAGTGTCCAGTTTAGGACAAGTTGATGTAAATGCAAGTGACTTTTTTTTTTTTTTAAAGGCTTGAACTCTTCATGAGATTTATAGTTGAATTATTTAGAGCTTCCTTGTTCATAGACAAAACGGATTCGAAAATATCTTTCATTCGTAGGCATAACTTCTATCTGCTTCATATTTGCCTGGAGTTCGCTCCTAGAAATATAGTAGTCCCTTACCCCTCATATCGATCCCACGAGCCTCTTATCAATTCTTATTGAAACACTAGGAGCACAAGTCCAAATAGAAGAATTCACATTGGGTTTAGAGATAATCATGTTCAAACAGATGACTTCAACCACATTGAGGTGAGTCTCTACCTTTGAGAAATAACCCTTACTTGTTCCCATCGAGAAATAGAACACCTAAGTTATGAAGAAAAACCCAGATCTCTAAATAACTTTAGAATCTGCACAACTGGTCTTTAGTTTTAAGTATGCACTATTTCAGTAATTTTCAGGCATATTTACACCTCCAAACATTGTGTTTCTCTCTTTTTTTTTTTTTACATCGTATTATTTTGTGCAAAGATTAGAAGTGTGATTGGATCCTTCCTCTTGTTTTCTTCCTTCATGAGGGTTTTGCGCCAATGTGAAAGTGAATAGTGTTCTGTGATTTGAAACCGCTGCCCATTCAAAGCAGCAACCTCACTCTATAAAATGCTTACCATAATTTTTTATTTCTTGGCTTCTGCTTGGTGAGTTAAACAGTCTGGGTCAGATCCCACTACTAGCATTTATGCTTCAATATAGTATTTCTGCCGACTGCTGGGAGCACCAGTTTAAAGCTTCGTCTTCTATCTTGTAGAGTTGAGCATGAAGGCATACAATCTGATCCAATTGAACTAAGTCAGTTTGTTGGTTATGTGAAGAAAAACAAACTTCAGTCAGAGAGCTTCTTTATTGGATCAAATCAATGTGAGTTACATTACTTAATGAATATGTTGTCAGCTTTGCATATGTAATATCCGCAGCAGTCTTCTCATGTCATTTATTTCAACTTAAATTCATGCTTGGTAATGATTTTGACTGAAACTACACTTCTGTCATTTCATATCAATTTTATTTTTTGGAGAACTTGTGTTTTTATTTTGGTAACTTACTTTTAATTTGTGCTGTTCTTTTTTGGCTAATTTGGAATTGTTGCCATTAGTCACTAAAGATATCATGATGAAAATTTTATGATGATTGTATTATTGGGCCAATTTCTGAGTGTGAAAATTGCGTATTTATTTTTGTCTTTCCGTGGAGTATTGAGAGAAAATGAATACTGAAATTACAATAAATTGGTATGCTACTGTTTATATACAAAATACAACTGAATGAACTAAAAGCATTTAATACAAACTGACAACTTCACAAGTAGTAGCAACTTACTCCCCCCCCCCCCTCCCTTCAAGCTAATGGCAGGAGCCTAACATTATGCTTGCTCCTTAGGACTACAAAATTACTTGTAATCAAGGGCTTAGTCAAGACATCTACCTTTTTCTCTTCAATAGGAATATACTTGACATCAAACTCCTGAGTGAGTACCTTTTTCTCAAATAAAATGCCCGTCTATCTTAATATGCTTAGTACTTGTGTGGAACCCTGAAGCTAAAGAACCAGCCCCTTTATTATCACCGCAAGACCGGTGTTTGAGGCAGCTTCACTCCTAGTTCTCTTAACAGACTTCAAATTCAAATCAACTCTGTGGAAGCTTAGGCTAAGGCCCTATATTCTGATTCTGTATACAATCTAGCAACCACCTTGTGTTTCTTAAAGCTACACTGGACAAGATTGCCTCCAAGATAAATGCAATATCCACTTGTAGATCTCCTGTCATCGAAGCTACTAGAACTGCATCTGTTAAACCCTCAAGAACCAGATTAGTAGCAGGTTTAAAATACAAAACATAGTTCCCTGTACCTTTCATGTATCTCAACACCCTCTTGCAAGCCTGCGTTGGGGCATTGAGATATTGGCTCAACATGTTCACCACAAATGACAAGTCAGGCCTTGTCATTGTAAGGTACTGAAGAGCACCCACTGTGCTTCTGTCTAAAGTGGGATTAGAGAAAGAAGCACTATCATCAAGAGACAATTTTCCACCAATGGGCATAGAATAGAACGACTTATTGCTCCTGCCTAATTGGTTACCAACAAATCAGTAGCATATTTGGATTTTGTAAAATGAAGACCAGTAGGATGCCTAAAACCTTCAATGCCCAATAAGTAGCTCAAAGATCCCAGAATTTTCAACTCCAACTTTTTATCAAGATCAGTAATCAACTAGGAAGTGAGAGCACTATCATTTCCTGTAACAATTATATTATCAACAAATGCTGACAAGAAATAGATACATCTTTGGCTGAGTGAGACCTCATTGAGGAACGAAGACACCTATAGCCCTTATCTGAGAGGCTATAACCAATAAAAACACACCTAGAGGTGTGAAAATTCAGTTTGTGTCTATTGTAGGGCTGCAAGTGTGGAAAACTTGTGCAACTAGAGACTTTAAGGACTTTGTACATGGGTTTATGTTGACACAATTCTTCAAAAGGGCAGATATGGTTGATAAATAATAACAGGTGAGAGAAAATTGTTAATGATGAATATAGTGGTGGTAAACGCCTCCCAGAATTTGAGTGGCGCACTAGATTGTGAAAGGAGTGTGAGGCACAATTCTTCGATTTGTCTGTGTTTACTCTCGGCCCTTCCATTCTTTTGATTCGTGTGGGGATAAGGGTGTCTAAAATGGACCCAAGTTTTTCTGATTAAGGCTTAAACAGCCTATACTGCCCTTCCTAGTCAGATTGCAAACATTTCAATTTTGTCGGAAATTGCCTATCAACGAGGGACCGAAATTGTACAAATATGGGAAAAGGATTAATCTAGATTTCAGGGGAAAATTTTAGGCATGCATGCTAAAATCAACAATGAATTGAGCACAGTATTGATAACCTTCCATAGACAATATAGGGGCAGGCCAACAAACATCTGTCTGCACGATTTCGAGGGTCAAGTAGTTGTATGCAAGGAATGGGGAAACACAGACTGACACAGTTTGCCAATTTGGCATTACTCATCAAAACTGATCTTATTTACAAGTGAAGTAGAGACATTTACACTTTTAAGAATGGACTTGAAAATTGTAGGACTAAGGTGACCTAGCCCTCTATGCCAAACATTAGCACTGTTGGCTTTAGTAAAATCAGAACTTACAACCAAAGAACTCACACTCTCTTGAGATCTAGAAGGACCTTGTTTATATTTAGAACTCAATGGAGTTATTTTTCCTCTGAACATAGAAAAATCTTAAAAAGGATCAATGCTTATTAGGCTGATATAAAGATATGGTAATGTCAGAGAACTGTGTGATATTTTTCTGAAAATGCTCAACCTGTTAGATAATGCCTTGTTTTTCACGAGGAATTTAAATTTCTTTGGGTAAAATTTTGTTACAGATCTTGTCACCTCAATTCACGAGAGTTGGTTTGCTGCTAGGTGCATGAACACATCAAAACCTGCTGGTGAAGGTGCTATTGTGATGCAGACGGCAGCATTCCTCTTGGTTGGACTGTAAGTATTTTAAAGTTCAGCTAAGAAAATTCTGGAAAATAATCTACTCGACTTTATCTATGCTGTGCACATGCGCTGCTTGTTCTTATTCCTTTCTTGCATATGATGGGATTTTACAGATATGAGGGCTCTATTGGATCAGCATCTCGTGCAATGGTAGCTCTCGATCAATTTGCATGGCAATTAGGCCGAAGAAACCTTTAATGTCATTGCATCAAGGTAATATGGACAAATCATTACACTTGAAAGAAAGATAGCTCAACTACGTTAGGGATGGAGGGCCGACATTAATGATCAGTGAACGTCTAATTTCGAAAGAAGCATAGTTGTTGCCAAAGAAAATAACTAACTTTGGAAAATTGCAAAGTGAACGTTCCTATGTGTATTATTAAGTGTAGTGTCGGACAAAGACAACTGCAAGGCCATTGACAACTTCATACTGATGGAAATATTGGCGGAGAGAACTTGCATTCGTCTAATTTTTTATAATGATATTCTTGAGCTTAGTGTTCTTTCTAGGGGACAGTTCCTCTTACCAATAAATTTGATAAATAATCATAGTCCGTAATTTAATTTAACCATATAGTCATATAGATCTATTAAAGTGTCTTAAAATCACCATCCAATCCAATACACCCCAAGGAAGATTTAATAGATCTAGACACCAAAATTAGCTTAAATTAAAATTTGTCATTATTTGTCAAATTAAAAGGAGGAACAATCTCCTTTCTATTAGAAATGAATTGATGGGTCTAACCTTTGTTCCGTAAATTCAACTCGACGTTTTATTATGAATAAAGCTTCTTGTACATTNTATTAGAAATGAATTGATGGGTCTAACCTTTGTTCCGTAAATTCAACTCGACGTTTTATTATGAATAAAGCTTCTTGTACATTGTTTGTTTGATATGGAGTTTGACACTTCATTGTTTTCAAAAATGAAGTTAGCGGGAAAGTGTGTTTTTTTTTAAAAACTGTCCAATATAATGTCACCACGTGGCACAATGTAAAACTTAATGTCAAACTTAATGTACTTATAGCATGATTCATTTATTATAATGCTTTTATTTGAGCATTAGTCAATCTAGTTTAGAGCAAGGAAACAAGCTAATTTACATTTATTCATCCTTTTTTTAAGGGTTTATACTTTAACTTTATGCTTCGTCTCTATTACGTACCAAAACTTCAATTGTCTCATAACCATAACAAGACTTCGAACCCCAAACTAATGGTTTTTTATGTACATGGCACTTTGCGGTATTATATGTCAAGGAAAATTGCATATTTAGTCTGCAACACGGCTTCTTAATTATTCCAAGTTTTGTAATTATATTTAAAAGGAAATAAAAGAGTTACTTGTCATCTTCTTTGTTCAACTCTACCTCCATCCAGAGCCTCTGCCAGACTGCCACCACCATCTCCACGGCCACCATTGCTACTGTTGCCTTCGCCATTTTTGGACATTGAAAGCAAGGCCAGACCCACATGGGTCGTGGGATAAAGTGACCCCTCAAAGATTTTTCATTTTTTTCTTTTTCAAAATTTCTGTAGTTGCTGAAATTCTTGTTCAAAACTTAGCTTTATGGATTTAATACATTTTACTCGATACTTTTGATTGTTGTTTATTTTATTTGCTTTTACAATTGAAATGGGAGTTCAGAAATGGAGTTTGACAATGTGTCTTTTTTTATTGAAGAATCTAGATTTTATAGGGTTTATTCTTGGGCTTTGAATTCTTCAAGTGTATATGCCTATTTGTTTGTAGGCTTTGTCTAAAAGGGTGTTTAGAAAGATTGAAGATGTTTATTTAATAACTGTGTGCTAGCTCTTGGTTTAAATGATGATTCCATTAAATATAGCTTATATACAGATAACATTACTTACAAGCTGCAAGAATTAGAATTATATATTAATAACTCAAAATTTCCAACCAGTCTTCATTAAATGCAGGAGTTAAAGACTTCGTAACTTTTAGTGATAGTAAATTATCAGGGGCAACTAAGACCGGCCTTTCCCATTATAGTTCAGACTATAGGTAACATAAATACCGACCCATCTGATTGGTTATGATTTTGAATCTAATTACCTGACAATATGTGGATGTACACAAAGAATGATTGAAAATTCAAATAATAAATGAATATTATGGCAGAACAATGTCACCTATTGGTCACATTTAAGTCCTAAATCATATCTAAGGTAGTGTTCGATCGAATTCTCCTATTGTATTCAATTTACCCTCTCGAGTTTTCATTAAACTTATTTAACTACTTCAAATTCATATCTCTATGCGAATCAAATAGAGTTAAACGAAAGATTGGCTCTAAGAATTCATATGTGATCAAGTAATTAATGTAGGTATCTCTATACGTTATATTAATTTACTGAATTTTAATATGTGATCTAAACAAATAATTCGCATCTCTACATAATTATTATTCACGAAATCATTGAATAATTGGTTAGAGAATTCAAAGCATTGAGAACATAGTTAAAATGAACACATATGCATAAAGGAATTTGAATTTAGAATAAAAGAAATAAAGGATCTCAAAAGGTTACTTGTTTGCCTTAATAATAAATTTAGCTACTCATGATAATGGAAGAAAAACAAAAGGTATAGAGTTCATAACCGGGTTTTAAAATCTTAATTATGGAAAGAGTTGGATCTTGCACCAAAAATCTTCTTCAATCTCAAAAGACTTCAATATCTAGCTTTTGCTCTTTGATCTTGATGATTATTTGTTTTTCTCCCCTCTGATCTTGCTTTCTCAATTTCAAGTTGTATTTGTTTGTCTCTCAATATGTGGAATCCCTCCAACTGTTTTATTTAGGGTTATATTTATATTTTCTCCAAGTCTGGAAAGAGTTTTAGTTGAGTTGAGCTTTTGAAAAAGATGAATTTCATTTAAAAATCCTATTTTATGGTAGCAAGGCACCTACGTGCTGCAATTGGCGCCTAAGCGCTAACTTTCGATAGCGTCGGGGAGCTGTCGTCAGCTTTGATTGTACTACACAACATTCAGTCTTTTTATCATAACTTTTTCTTTCGATGTCTAATCGAGGCGATTCAAGATACATTGGAAACCTAACTCAAAAGGCTACAACTTTTCTTCAAATACCATTTTTAAATTCGATCATATGCTATGTCAAAAATAGGTCTCAATATGAGTCTAAAAATGGTGCATAAATTTTTTCAGTTGAAACTTGATGTGTGATCATAATATTTCATCCCTTTGATGTCATTCTTTATTCAATTGACTCTGAGCACTCTTGAATCTTCATCGTGAGGTTCGACATAACTTTGGAGTATTTACATTTTGGCCCTCAAGCTTTGGATCTTGCTCTTCTTCTGGGTTTCTTGTACCATTATTGAATTTTACCTACTCAACACCAAATACAACAATTTAGACTATAATTCATTCGAAAAGCAACTATATATCATCATTTTAAAGTCTTGAATAAGTGTATAAAATACACTTATCAAGAGGCAACTAAGACCGGCCTTTCCTATTCCTATTCAGATTATAGGTAACATAAATACCAACCCATTCAATTGTCATTACCAGTTGCAGCTAAACCCCCTCCTTTTCACTCTCTTCTTCTTCTTCTCTTCTTTGTTCCCATGCTTCTATTAGGGAGCAAATCATCTTCCATGTACAACTGATTTTAGCATTATATGTCAACACCTCTACCAATAAGGAATCAAGTAAAGTAATCGGTTGAACGCGATCTAGGTAAAAGTGTTCCTGTTCCAGCGCTTATGCTGGAAGTCTTTAAGACTTTCTTGATGCTAGGGAAGGGAGTAGCTATTGAATATAATCAAGTTCAGCAGTCTAGCCAAAAAGGGGAGCTTTTCCTTTGATCTTGGTTTGGTCATCTAACTTGCAAGCCCGTTGGGAACAGGTTTTGCCTTTCTCATCGGGCCTTAGCTTTAGGAGCTTCTTTGGAATGTTTTTGGTTATCTTTTGGTTTATGATTGACTTTTTCATTTCGAACGTTTCGAATCGCTGTTCCATAAAAATCGTCATAATGTCTACTTCTTACGCTAAGACCCTGAGCTGAAAGTACTTTCGCAGAAGTGATGCTTCAATGTGTCTTAAGGTGGACAAAACGACTTCTTCATATAATGGTTTGGTTTCTGAAGGACCCTCCTAATCTCCTCGGGGAAGTATTCTTGTAGGGTGACTGACTAATGCCCGTTCTTTCTGGACATAGCCATACAAGGAATCTATGTATTCTTCCAAGGAGGATTTTTTATGCTTTAGTTGAGCAGGTTCAACAGGAACGGACTTTCCACCCCTTTGCGCACCTGAGGTTTGGAAAGCCGAAACCAAATAACGAGCTCGAACTTGGCGAGAGTTTCGCCATAGATTTACGGGCTCCAGGGCCATCATAAGATCGAGTATCTCTCTCTTACGAGAAAAGTGAGCCATGGCCCGCTGCATTAATGCAGAGCGTTGCTCTTCGGAAAACAAACCTCCCAGAAAGAAGTTTCAAATCTCCCCTGGGAAGCAGTCAGCCGCCACTCACTTGCCATCCACACTCAAACCTGTCAACAAGCAAATAAGAACATTAGGTTCGCTATACACTCACGGAACACTAACTTAAAACCAGTGACCAGATAGTGCGAAATGAAAACCAATGCAAGGCAAGAACCCGATTATCTAAGACGCGGGGTTGCTCTGCTAATAGACCTCCCCCTTTGGACATAGATCCGCACTCCCACTCAGAATGGTTACTGGACAAGGATTGGTTGTCCATCAGCGATTTCGAACATTACATATGATATGTGAATTGAAATGAAAGAATGGAATTAATAGAACCGACCGAGCGTACTCCTTTTCCTTTTTCTTCTTATTATTCTTTAATTTAATTAATTGCACAATACTTGGATCAAAGACTGCTCACTTACGAAATAGGCCTAAGCCTATGCCAATGGACTCGTGACATCCATGCACTGAGTCGTCAAATGACGCACGTTAAGAAGGTCCAAGCTTATACGCATCGGTCCACAAGGTGCCCATCTTCAATTCAAGAAGGCCCGAATGAAAGACCCAAGCCTACATGCACAGGCCCATCCCTTAAAGTCTTTTATTTGACTTCAATTTCAAATTTTTATACGGCTTTATCTAAACAAAAGTAAAAAATGACTTTATATCTGATAAAATGTTAGATAAGAATAGTTAAGTTATGGTACCATTTACATTTTGTTGTTAAGATTTGAGACTTATCATTATGTTGAAAACTTCAATGTATGTATGAAGTTTTTATAAATCCATGAAGTGGGTTCTGTCTAGTAAAAAGTTGAACAATGAATAATAGTCTAACTTTTGTATTTCGAAAACTCGAGAATTATATAATTGATCAATTCTAGAAATTATAAAGCAAATATAATATTTTATCAATTATATATGTTTGGTATATTATTTTAATTATAAATGACTTTTAAATAATTGAAAATTTAAAATAATATTAAGAATAAGAAAACGTTTAGTACGTCTAGGTCTCATCAAAACTTGTAAAGCTTGAAATTTAATCTCTACATCTAGATACGCTT